CTGATTTTATTAATATTTAACAACTTTGTAATTCAGATTTATTTCTGAAAAATGCTGTTTTGTTATAAATTATTTGAATAAAAATACTGTAATATATATAATCAATCAAATATAACTTTTTTAAGAAGAGTATTTATGATGAATATTCTGACGTAACCCATCTACACAACTTGCTGTTGATAAATAACATAGAGGTATCATTATAACTCCATGGTAAATAGTTTACTGCTATTGTACACTCTGTATGTATATGATGTGTACCGCCCTCTGTAGTTGATGAACTTTCAACTCTTCACCGTAGCTAAGCTACTGTGTACACGAAGAACGCTGATATTTGCCAAAGTTTTGGCATCGTTTCAGAGATTTGTGTGAGTAAAAATACAGTTTAGATGTTAAGGTATCATTGCTAAGATGGCATCAAAACAAGCTAAAGAGAAGAAATCAACAAATCGTGTAAATTCGGCCTCAAACAAGGAGTAAGTTTGCTAATTTGACTGATGATGGAGGCTGACATTCTTCAGTTTCAAGATTGATATTGATTGGCGGTCATCAAACCCACAAGTGACCACGAAAATGAAAATAACTTTTCTGAATATCAATATGCTGTTGTGTTGTTGATTTGCAGTCTATTATTAACAATAATAACAAAATGATATAGGGCCTAGTCCTATCTTTTGCCTGACTCCAATTAATATTGTACAGTTCAGTACGGTTCAGAGGAGTCTGTTACTTAGCCTTACCTTTTGGTCTTACTGTTACCCATTGGATAGAGGGGGACCAAGTACTATGTAGGAAGTAGTCCTAGATTAGGGGCCTAGCCTAGTACTGTAGAAAGCTAACTCGGGCTTCTTTTTTTAGTGGCCTAGAGGCCTAGTCTATCCCCTGTTATTTGAACTAGGCCTAATAATTTCAAAGGAAGGTAAAAAAACAACACTGCTGGATGGGTGGTAGGCATTTCAGGTTTAAAAATATCCTTGTTTCGAAATCTCCGCTGTTGAGGTAATGACTTCGGCGCTAATACAGTTTCGCATCCGGCCCTGAAAACGGTTACCAAATTATTTAAAACTTACAATTTAATATTCAACACTAACATGTTCTTTGATAATTTGACTTTCATATAAGCCACCTATTATTCCGTATTTACGGTTTCTAATTAAGTTAATTAACCAATAATTAGGACGGTATATCAATACTAATAGTAACACCTGATCGCTCAACACAATCAACTCAGCTTTGCCGTACGTAGCACAATCGACGACTGAATGTTTCCAGGGTCTGTCATATAATTTGTGCCCAATTGTAATTTTTGTGACCAATTATTTCACTGCATTAAGATTTCTGAAAACTTGTATTGTTTTGTAGTTCATCTCTTTTTATTATGTATTTTTCTGTGGAGATGTTAACCATCCTAATTAATGGTTAATTAACTTAATTAGAAACATAATTATTGGATAATAAGTTGATTATAGGAAAGTAAAATCATCAAGGAATGTAATTAGTATTGAATAATTGTACGTGTTAAATAATTTAGTAACTAATTTCAGGGCCAGATGCGAAACTGTATTAGCGCCATGACTTCCTAGTCTGTGCAGGATGTGGGTCCCGGTGAACAGTGTGTTCATAATAATTATGCTGTTTAACTACGCATGCGCAAATGAATGTGGAAGATGGGTTTGCTTTAATCGGAGGCACCTGAATCCCAGAAAAGATCAAGACTTAAACCGATGTTAACTGGAGTACATGGACACAGATATCAGGTTGCTGCTGACATTGTAAACTTGTTTTTCCTTGGTTATTTGTTTACCCATTTTTTTCTTTGTCCTCTTATATAGATAACTCATTTATTTGCGCATTATAAATCCATTTATTATTATTATTTGAATCCTCAACAAAGCCTCAATGGCCCAGTTGGTTAAGGCGTCAGAATGGACAGCAAAAGGTTCCAGGTTCAAAACTTTTTTCACACTCACAGATTCATCCTTTTAATGTTAAAAATAATATATATATATATATATATATACTGTCTCTTATACACATCTAGATGTGTATAAGAGACAGTAGTACTGTAGCGTAGAGGTTTCGAGTTTTGTCTGCTGGGATGAACATAGATTTGGAGTTTTTTATCTTTTTGATGTCGGAGTTCAGGGTGTTTTGGAATGAGTCATTTACTTTCTTGAAGGTTACGTTCTCTATTAGTATATATATATAATATTATGAAACTCCAGCTTGCCTACAGATACAACTTAAAATATGTTGTTAATTTAAAAGACATAAAAAAAATAGCCATTTCCGTATATATACAGTAATGTACACTGGAGAATGTTGTGCGGATACAGTGCAGTGACCTTAAACCCGGTCCCAATAGTGGTCTTTAATTGGAGGGTGGAGGGAGACCTGTAACTGAAATTTAAATTTATTATACAAGTTTATTACATCAACATAAACATTATTTGCAGCCTTTGAGTTGCTGACATTGCCACTGGATTGTATTTGTTGTTACCCATACAGTTACAGTCCTCTGTCATATTTTTCCTGATACTTTTTTCTAAACTATACAAACAATATTTTGAACCAATGATTATCTTGTGTACTTTGATTGTTTAAACATTGTCTGCCTCTACCTCACGTTTCACTAATAAATCATTTGTGGATTACAAAGCTCAAATCGCAATTAATATGCCAGGTGCCAGAAAACAGACGTAAGTTGTACAAAGTCTATTTGCTTCTGTTTACCAGACTCTCTTAATGGAAGTCGTTACTAGGAGATATGTAATTTGCCATTCAATTTTAGTACATTTAGGCAACTTTTAAGTACCTCTAGGAACATTCGATTGTGGTTAGTGAACTTGTGAAGCTCATGTAAAAATGCCTAAGGAATCAAGTCAGCGAGTAAAGTTTTTCTTATTTGATGAATCTGTAGTGAAGTCTGTATCTAAGTTAAGTGAACCTTCAAATCAAAGGAGCCCAAGGGCTAAGAGTCCACGAAGTCCACTTAGTCCAAGGCCTTGGAGTCCAAATCCAAGAAGGTAAGTGGCTCAAAGGTAGGCCTAGTTGTACTCAATGTACTCTTGACTAGGCCTAAAAAAGCTTTGATAATTTTAGACCAGACCTACGGTAAGTTTTAATATTAGTACAAAGATTAAGTAGGTGACGTGGTGGTGGTATGACTATGATAATTTTTGTTGTCAAATATTTTGGTAGAGCCCTGTCTAGATTATCCCTTTTTCTTTGACAAAATACAATTTTTTGCCCATATATAGTCATTATATAGGATAAGATAAGATAACTTTATTGTTCCACAAGGGAAATTCTTCTGCTCGTCATCACATATTATATTATAAAATGTAAAACAAATATAAAAAAACATAAAAACAGTCACTATAGAAAATATAACACTTTACAAGTAAAATACAATGACTAATATCGATAAAATAATTGAATTACTATTATGATTATTTTTATTATTCTTATTATTATTATACGGTCATGATGTGATGTCATTATGATCATATTTAGGCATTTCACATGTTTTTGTCAAATAAAATTTGATAATCTGGACAGGGCTTAACATTGGTAACTAGATTGGTTATTATAAGTGAGAATTTCAAAGCTATTTACCGTAATACAGTATTTGAAATTAACAAATGGCAGTTTTATGTAATATTGCTGCATTTTTGTACTGAGTGTTCATATACACTTTTTTTTAAGATGAATATATAGTAATCTTTTTTATTTGTTACTTGGTTCTACGAGAATCTCTGAAAAGCACTTCATATACAAGGCATCGTATACCACTTTTCAACACCGTATTTTATTACTGTTTTGTTCACTATAGTATTTGTTTTAGAAAAAAACAATGAAACTGTAGAGGGCAGTATTGTTGAGACTTGTTATCCAGGGTCCTCATGAATATGCATAAGATACAGGATGTCGTGATTCTCAATAATGAAAGCAATTGACAGTCAGTCATAGCTCGGTTAAATTTTGTTGACTGTTCTTTAGGCTTTTATTGTTAAACAATTTTGCTATAATAGCCCATTTTAATGGCAATATATAATGATAATACTGTATTAAAGTCTATGGTATGGGATAGTATGGATATTTTTTTCTTTAAAGATAAGCCAAGGTTAGCACATGTTGCTTATAAATAAAATATTTATTCAACAGTATGCCTAGTACTGTGGAATAAATATTATTAGGTGTCAGTATAGTGTAATCAATAATTAAAGATATAGGAAGGGTATTTATCAAATCCCAGGTTTGATTTGTGTCTGGATGTGTGTGAAGTAGTTGAATATATTGTTTTATAGATCATTGCACACAAGCTGTAGACTTCAAGTGTTCATTAATTATTAATCTTGTTCCTTGCCATCCATCTTCTAATGACTTGTTTATTTAAATTTATTTTATATTATTTATTTTATTGTATTCATTTCGGCAGGAAACAAAAATACAAAATCTGAAAAAATATATAAAAGCCGAGGAGAAGCTCATTTGTTAATATTCAAAATAGCTCATGAATGTTAAATTGACTTCTCATAGTAGAATTGTTTTGACTGGTGTCTGATCATTGAAAGTTTATATTAACTTATTTTATGTTTTTAGGCTTAAGCAAACTTCAGTCATAATTAAATACTGGTGAGTATGGTTTTTTTTAGGTTAAAGGTTATATATGAAACTTCCAGCTTTAGATGTGATGACTAATACAAAAGCAAGGATTGATTGTACTACATTATGCCTTCATGTTTGTTCTCCTGATAAGACTTTCAATTTTCTTGGTGATTGAGGAAAGAGTAAACATCATGAAGCAATATGAAGTACATGCATCCACCATAAAAAATATACTAATGGTCCTTATCTAAACACCATGGGTCAAAACTAATAAACCTCTCTAAAATATACTAATGGTCCTTATCTAAACACCATGGGTCAAAACTAATAAACCTCTCTACGGTCAGTTTCATTAAAGATCTTTCATCCGTTGTGCAGACATCTAGTATTTTCTCCAGTCATTTTTTTTCTGATGCAGTACCTTTAGGGTAATCATTAATCCTGGTGGTAGGAATTACTTAAGCTGACTTCCATGGTAATTGATCACTCTGTTTGTCAAAGGATTGATTTGACTTGTTTTATATTGATTATCAACAACTTATGTTGGAGGACGTGGTTTGAAGTACTCTATGCAAATACAACACAGTGAATAGTATTGTTACATCCAATTAGGAACAATTTTCTTGGATATCAAGCGGAGAACAATTTGTGCGTCAAAATTTGCTCTATTGTCTGATATGTTGTGATTACGTAAATGAGATGTTGGCTTTTACTCATTTACCAAAAGGAGCTTAACTGATGAAGACGGAGGATGCTAGGCTTAGTGAAACATTAAGACTTTTCTGATATCATTTGGATTAATACTCCTCAATACTTTAATTCTGTACCCTGGCTGTATTGTTCCTTTTACATGTGCTTATTTTGATTTGTTCTATATATTTAAATCATGCAAGCAAGGTATTTGGATTGAGTATATCTTCAATGTGAATTTTGACATTTTCTTCAGTAAGGAAGGTCTGGAATGTTACTATATGAATTGAATTTGGAGTGAATATTCTCTAAAAGTCACTCAAAACATTTTTGGATTTGGAGGTGGATCTCAAGATCTGAATGAATAGTGGACCATCTTCATTTGCATCTATTTGTAGAGAAATATTTGGATTCTTCCTTGATTTAATTAATTCAGTTTCATCTGTGTTTCTAAAATTCACATATAATGTATTGGCTCAATGACTGTTAATATCAGAATTCAACTGTCTTCTACCCAACCAGTTATTTTTTGTTCTTACAAAAAACTTCAAAAAGGCATCCTTTTTGTTTTTATTTACGGCACTATAATTGTCTTGCAATGAGTAAACTATTGCCGAAACTCCCATCGTCAGGACGTGAAAGTCGCAGTTCAGGCAAGGCCTACAAATCATTATGGAGGTAGTTAACTTTACATTGTTTGATCACCTAAATTCTTACAAATCAATGTAATATTTCTCTGGTCAAAACTAAGTAGGCCTATTTATTAATGACCTGGAAAAGAAGGACTTTGTATATGCAAAGAAAAGTAATGGCCTATCTAACCTCTCCAAACGTGATTAACAAATTGTGGATGTTTAGTACAGTAAAAATACAAATAAAATAATCTAATCAACATTTGAATGGATTTTTAAAGCTAAAATATTTGTCTAATACTATTGACTAGTTTAATTAATTAATATCGTTTGTCTATTGTTTGAATAATAAGTTTGAAATTTTATGGTTTTTTTTAATAATGAGTTCATATGCTTTTAGGAAACATACCCGGATTAACAGTGTTGAAAGGTGTGAATTTTATAGATTATCACTTGCCATTGGGAGAGTGCTTGACTAAATGTCCCAGAAGGGCACAAGTAAGATTAAGACAAGGTCTCCACTTGATACCATCTGAATAATGGTACATGGTATAAGTGTGGCCCTCAGCCTTTTAAGAACTTTTAGTTAGATGTAAACATGTACATTTATATTTAATTATCAAGAGGATTATTTGTACATAAACAGACAAAGAATTTTCCACCTGAAGAATATTTGCGCTTCAGATTCAGCAAGGTTAAATAATAGAAAGAATCCAGGTGTTCCTAGCAACATCAACTTGTCAAAGAACCTTCAGTTTTTTTTTGAACATCATTTTGTTTGTTTTCATTCTTCTGTTGAAAGATAACTAATGTATGGTTTAGTCTAGTTATCTAATAGAGTATTAGTGCTTCTCATTTGTTTAAAATCACTTAGCTATGATGAGTGTGATTTTTGGTATATAGGATGCCTTTATCTTTTAAAGCAAGCGTTCTCAGAGTCAGAGCAAATGCGTAAGTATATCTAACCATTTGTTATGCTAGTAGTAGCAATGTACAATATTTAAAGTCTATGAAAGGAATGTACCAATATTATATTTTTAAAAAATTTATTGTATTTGTTAAAGATATAGCATTTACATTTCATGAAATAAATTTGTAATTTTGTGCTGTTCAACCAAGAATTAAACCAAACTTTAAGTTGCAGTGTGTAGATCGAAGTAGTATCGTGTGGTAGAATCATCGTTGCTTCCTTCAGCATACTGAAGTAACTGTGATGGTTTCTTGGACAGTACACTGGGACACAATCCCCTGCTCTTTCATAGAGTGTACTGTATGAGCCATTGTGCTCGAGACCAGTGGTTTATACTTATTATCCAAAAGATGAGTGTGCCGTTGTAACTTGAAAAAAAAAAGAAGAAAAGCAGCAGATAGAATTGAACCATGGACCAAAGAACTAAAAGGCTCTCCATAGTTTAGCGCAGTTGCTCCACCAGTTATAACCAAGCTATATTGCTTGTTATTTCATAAGAAAAGTATCTCAGCATTTATGCAATGATTGAAACCTAACCACTGAGATTAAAAGAAAACAATGTAGCCACCTAGTCGCATATCAATGTTTTGATTGTTCATTTTCCCTCTTGCTTTCAGAGCTGCATCTATTGCAGCCAGTATAGTTGGGTCACAAGAGGGCCGGAAACAGAAGATTGTTGTGTGGCCAGAATGGAATGATGCAGACATTAACTCGGAGAAATGGGTAAGACAGTTTTTTATTCTCTTCTGATTGGTTTATCATTTTGAAAAAATGTTCAAACAATCTCTATTCAGTTGATTTATTAAATCATTATCAGCAACTTTATTATCTTCATCACTGTTATCTTCTTCATCACTTTTATCATTTTCATCACCTTTATTTTCATTACCATAATTATCATTACAATTATCATCATCATCGTAGTCGTCATCATCAACCATTACCAACTTAATGAGGCCCACTATTCCATTTTTTATTACCATCACCATATATCTGCTAGGTTTTTTTTAGTTATGCTTTCTTTTAATTGGTTGAATGTCAAATATTTCTGTTTTTGTATGAAATAGGATGTAGCCCACAAGGTAAAGGAGAAGGAGCAGAAGGGAAAAAGCCCCAGTTTGGTAAGTGAAACATACCTTTTAGTAACTATTAATCATGTTTTTGTGTTACTGCATTGGAGTGATTCTCTGGATTTTTTAGTAAAGTTGAAGTGAGCCCTCTAGAGTGTAGTATGGTACAGCTAAACAAATGTTTAACTTTTATTTACAGCATTTCTTTGATGATCCAGAAGGTCGTGTAGATCTGCCACCCTCACTGCGACAAAAAATAGATCACTGGAAACGTCCCCATGAGTTTATAACTGATAAAACTATTGTGGTTAATGATGCTGAAAATAATCATGATTTTGATTTGATGTCCATGAATGATCATCTCCACAATTGTGAAGTAAGTAACTTTGGTAATTCCATGGTAACTTTTTACCATGACAACATCAACATTAGGAGTAGCTGGCAGGAATTGCTGTTTTACAGTAATTATTTGAATCGGGTTTTAAGTTCTGCTATTTTTAGCTCATATGTTAAACATCAGCATTTAAGCTTTGTAGCAAGAAGAGTGAGAGAAAAATCCCAGAGACTATCCATTGTGCAAAATAAAATGACAAGCAAACATTTTGCTGGTTAACAACAGTCTTTATTTGATTCTTATTTAATATTCAATATTTCTATTTGAAAACACTCCATAATAATTAACAAATATGTATTATTAAACTTTAAGGACAGATTTTAGTTTGGAATTTCCTATGATACTACTGAAGCCAAAATTATAACTGACAGTTTTCTGTTTGTTGTTATAATTACGGTAATTACATGCATTGTGCGTTGGCACTCAAAATGACTTCAGAAAATGACTTTTCCACATTACTTATTATATGGAGTTTACTCTACTTGGATAAGAATATAATTACATAAATAATAATAATAATAATACAGGAATTTATACCACACCTTTTACATACAGTACTTGAACCTAGAAACATTTGACTTATGCTCATTGCAAACACAAATTTTTTTGGTTAAACTGAAGAATAGTGTGTCCTTATTTTTTATTTTAAAATTCTTCTTTTTAACTTTGGTCTTAAACCTTTAAAAATTCAATTGTTACAATAGTAAGTAATAAATATGACCTTTCTATTCTGTTCTATTCTATTGAATTCAATTCTCCAATTTTTTTCTATAGTTCAGTACCTTTGTAGATATTATGATAACATTGTGGTGCCATTATAAGAACATTTTACTTGAGGTAAACCATGGATAGAATAATCAGTATCTTATTTATATAGTTTTTTTATTCTTTTAAAGTTTAAAATAATTGAAAATATTTATTCAGTACATTATCATACAAGTGACTTGTAACTTAACAAAAAATTGATCGAAAGACTAATATTTGGACTATCGAATCTATTTAAAAAATTCAATTGTTACAATAGTAAGTAATAAATATGACCTTTCTATTCTGTTCTATTCTATTGAATTCAATTCTCCAATTTTTTTCTATAGTTCAATACCTTTGTAGATATTATGATAACATTGTGGTGCCATTATAAGAACATTTTACTTGAGATAAACCATAGATAGAATAATCAGTATCTTATTTATATAGTTTTTTTATTCTTTTAAAGTTTAAAATAATTGAAAATATTTATTCAGTACATTATCATACAAGTGACTTGTAACTTAACAAAAAATTGATCGAAAGACAAATATTTGGACTATCGAATGGGGTAGCTCTTTGAAGATTTCTTGGTACTGGTATCTTTATACTCCATCTTGCATCAGTTTTCTTATTGAAAGTAGATACTAGTATTTGCTCTTGCCAAAATAATAGTGTTGTCATTCCCGCATATTTTGATTCCCTCGTCCTCTTCTGTTAATTGTACAATTGTTAAGAGTGAGTTGTAGGAATTGTTTCTTCCTGATACCGGTGGTGTTCCCTTATCTGTTATAACCATGGTAGCTTTTTGTATTTGCACCTTGGTCCATCCTCTTTCCACCTTGTTAGATGTACGCCAAGTGGTCACTGATGCAGGTGGTATGTCTTTTTGTTGAATATTTTGGATGATAACAGTTGCCTTATCGCCAGCAACAATAATAGTATTATTGTTGCCATTGATGCAAATTTCCAAACTTTCCAATTCATTCAATCTTTGGAATTTGGAATTTAACATTTTTCTTCTGTTTCCTCTGAACTCCAAAAAAACTTTTTTTTTGTTTGTGTTAGTTTGTAAAGTATACAAAATTGATTGTAGTTCATTTTTGCTAGGCCTTTTTATAAGCATCAATGGGTATTTCCTAATTGTTTAATTTTGTTATTATGATATATACATTAAGTTTCATCATAAAAATAATGATGAAACTCCTCCATGAGACAGTGGAAATTCTATGTTCTTAGGGGTTTTTGTGTTTGGTATAATTAGTTATTTTTATTATAAGGTGTTTATGAAATAATAGGTATTTATTTGGCATGCATTCAAAGTTTATAGTAGTGGCGTTTGGCACACTTCTTTGTTTGCATAGCAATTGAGATCTCTTTGTCATTCTTTTGTTTGTTTCTCTTAGTAATTCAAATTCAAAAACTTTATTAATAGAATATAGATATTCAGATAAAACTAATTCTGTTGATAAAAACAAATCACACTTGCAACTCTATAGAATTTGTAATAATAATAGTAGTGTAGTTACTAATAATAATATATTGCTTGACACTGTGAAGCAACATTATTTTAATATTCATCATCATCATCTTCATCATAATCATTTTTATCTCAATGTTGTTTGTTATAATCATCATCTATGGCTGATTCTAGCTGCTTTTGGAATTGTGCTCCCCAGAAGCTGAGGATGTGTTTAGACCAGTTACTGGAAGTAATAATGTAAAGAGCATAGTGGCACTTTATTGCAATATTTACTATATAAATTTTGTACATTATCTTATCATTAGTATCTTAATCATCATCATCATTATCATTATCTCAGCCATTTTTAGTCGTGTAAGTTTGTGTGTGTGTGTGTGAGTAAGATTTTGGTGTTTTTCTGTGGTTTTTTTTTGTGTGCGACATATTTCAAAAACAGCTGCACAAAAATATCAACTGATATAAATGAAACTTTCGTGAAAGTTTAACCAATTCTGTTGGCGACGATCCAAATTTCGGGTGTGCATTTTAGGGCCATTAGGTCCCAGACCTGAATATCTCGATAATGGATCAATGAATAAAAATGATAATTGGCAGAATAGTATGTCATGTTTTAATAAAGAAGTTTTTCAAGTTTGGTGACGATCCGAAGTATGTTGTGGCTATGAGGACCATTTAAATAATATGTTTACCGTATTACCATAGGCAGAAACAATAGCTGTATGGTGGATATGTGCAATTACAGTATTTAGGTGTACAGCATTTTATATGTATAAACTTCACTTTTTTCGGAACTGATTAGGAATATTTTTAATGCATGATCTTTTCATGCGATGTTAAAACCAAATCCTCGTATTTCTATTTGCATAATATTTCCATTTCAACACCAATACATGACACATGTTTTTTTTGTCAGCTAAGATTAAAACATGCCAGTATGTTAAGCCAAATGTAAGGAATTTGCAGGTGTACAACTGATACAATAAAAAGGCGTTCGAAAAATGAAGTGATTAAATTTTGGTGTAGATATTTGGAAAATTCGAAGCAAAACGTCCCAGATCAGATATCTCAAAAACTAATCAACTGATCTGAATGAAACTTTCGTGTTGTGTAATTTTTTAGTAGATGTGGTTGGAAAATAGGAACATATTTTTGAGGATTTATTTTATAGAAAGAGATTGGCTGTAGGCAAAGTTATTCTCTCTACTAAGTGCTCTTGCTGTTACCATTTTTCTTTGTCATTATTGTTCTCATATTATCAGTAAGATTATCATCTTTATCTATTTTCCTCTTTTTATTTTAAAGTTTTTAATTACATCATGAATGTCGAAAACTTTGGTGTACCCCTAGGTTAAACCTTAGGGCATTCTTTTAATTTTTTACATCTGTCCACTTGGTCAGGTTTCTCTAAGTTCCTGCTAGTCTTAGGTTTTGTTTATGAAACATTGCATAGAAGTGCTATACAATTCTCCAAATATAAATTTACTTCTCATCATCAACAACTACAAATTTATATTTTTTTGTAATCTTGTCTTTTTAATCATCTTTGTCTTCTCACCATTATCATCACCATAATTTTCATCATCATCATTATCAATTTTTTTCTTTTATAGTGTCAACATCCTTTTATCAATTTCTTTTTCAATATTGTCTTTCCTTTCACAGGTAATCAGATGGATAATAAGTCAGATAAACTGTTTGTGGAAAATCACAACTGCCAATGCAGGAGATAGTGAAGCATCTAACATCAGCGTCGCGGGTGGGGAAATTCATACATGGAGACCATGGGATCATATCTTCTCATTATGTAAAGTGGGTAAAGGGCCACACCTGCCATTACATAATCCACATGGAAAGTACATTGTCCGTCTGTACTGGATGGTAAGTTTTTTGTATTTAATATTTGACTAGGTATAGGATATACTGTTACTATCTATTCCTGTAATGTTTCCAGTGATTATTTAAAAGATATATAATGTCCTTTAATACTGTACATAAATTACTGTCAATAGAAGTAAAACTATAAAGTGCACACTTCCTACAGGAAAATGCAAATAATAATTCACCTTCAGTTTAGTGCAGGGTAGTCGTCCAACTATAATTTGGAAATCAGTTGTATAATTTACTGGTGTAAATATTTTAACTATGCATCCTGGGGTAATTGATCGTACCAACCTCTTAAGGCTGGAGCTCGCCGCGCCACAAACTTGCATTCCAAGGTAGGATTTTACAAATCCTAAAACAGGAGTCTGCATACTCTAAACATGCATGTTGTAGGAATTTTAGTCTAGAAACATGAGCCCGCACTCAATACTACACTTCCCAGGGTAATGTGTAGGTTTTTAAAATTCTAATGCTTTAACTGGCATACCTAAATCTATTCATATAACTATTTAAAAATAATAGGACAAACAATCGTCAAGGATGGAAACAATCAGACCATGAACTGTCCATTATGTACATAAGGCTTGCCATGACAAAAATAGCATCAGTGACAAAAACATGAAAGTTATTGATATATTCATTCTCCACATTGTACTATTGTGCTTATGTGTACTACTGTAAAGTATACAATATTGACTGCCATGTTCTTATGCAGATTACTCAGTTTAACAATGCTGGTTTTCAGATGGTAGCCCATGGATGTGGATAATCGGATTTTGAATTGATATTTCTCTACAGTATAAAATAAACCTAGTCTGTTAATAGTATTCCATTCATTTATTTTATTCTGGCAGTGCTGATTAATTAGTTAATTGAAAAGTTTAAAATGATGATTTCAATAATTTCTATAAATTTTAGGGATGCTGGAGAAAGGTTACCATAGATGATACGATTCCATTTGATGAAAGCGGTAAAATGCTTCTACCAGCCAGTACAATACGGCAGGAAATATGGCCAATGTTGCTTACAAAAGCGCTAATTAAAGTCGCTTCTCTTGAGTAAGTTAAACATCATCTGTATAAGAAGATTATTGTTAGCTCAAAAGCTACTTATATCAAATAAAGTATTATTTTAATATTGTTGTTTAATTTTGTACCATCTGTTATGAAACATTGAAAAAAATGTAAAAAATCAATTAGACATACCTCCTAGAAAACCTATATAAACTGTTACGTATAAGCTACGCAAGTTAACAACTGTCAACAAGTCACAGATAAAAAAAAAAACAGTTTTTAAAATTTGTAGGCACTTTACTACAAGTGCCAATAGATTGACCATCCACTATCACTAGATAAATGTAAACTTCAAATTCTGTCATCACTTATTTTTATACTACTTGTAATGTTGACTATATTGTAAATGTTTTACTGAACCATACTTGGAAAAGCCCAGAACCTTCTGGTTGTCTAAATCTCTGTTTTCCTTGTTCATGTCCACAAAATATTCTAATGAATCATTTGCAGCATATATCATATTATTCATAATTAGTTTTTTAGGCTTACATTTTATATGATTTGATGTACACAATAGTGCTGTGAGTTAGTAAAATCCCAGCTCTTGATGAATCATCAAACATTTCGGTTGGTCCTAGCCTATAATTTTGTAGTAACTTCAAGTTTGGACATGTCTGCTTACTTAGTGTGTTCTAGCTAATAGTGTGTATGAAGTCACAGTATAATTTTAGTTAAGTAATTACCCAAAATTAATTTGTGCCAAAGCTTAGTCATAAAGGTGTGATTTAAACTTTACATTAAAGATTATATCATTAGGCAAAATAAAATTGTGTTTCCCAAGCCCAACAAACCAAAAATCTGAGGTCGCCTTCTTTAATTTCTTCAATACTTGTATAATGTTTGAAATCGCCACTTTTCGAGCTTTTTGATGTACTGATACTAAATCATTAAATTTAGTTCTTGGTTACCATTTCAAGATAACCAAACTTTTACATGGTAGCTTGTAATGATCCTTACAATTGTTATTTTTTATTGGTGCTGTTGTTGCTCATTATTATTATTTTAGTATCACTATATTAATATTTTATTATTAATATCGTTATTATCTTTGTATTTTGCATTATATAAGCATAGAATTGTTATTATCTTTATCATTATGGGTGATTAATTATTAATCTTTTTTTATTGTGGCAATCCAATGCTTGGTCCTATTACCTTTAATTTGCTGATGTGGGTAGGCCTGCAATATAATATCATCATACTCATATATAGGCAAATCACAAATATTTGCTGCAAATCACCAGGCGAGCAGCAATACTAATCTCGACCACAATTCTCGACTACACTAACGCCACTCTACCACACTACGCCAATTAAAGATCTCGATTTTTCCAGGACTCAAATGAATTTTCCAGAGAGCGTCGGATCATTTTCGGTTTTCAGCCCGATAGCCCGATAGTATTTGAGTGCCTTTCGAAGGGTTTTCAGATATCCACATGGCTTAGTTAGGTCGTCGGCTTTCGATCCAGGTTGTTGTCAGTTTGCAGCTTGTCGGTTTCACATGTGCTTTCTGGTTCATTTACGGTAGAATTAATTCGGTAAGTATTCTATTTTCAAACATTTATTATGTCAAGTCTTCATAATTGCTTAATGCTGGAAGTGTTTATTTAGGTCATGATAATTTTAGGGATGTTTCTAGAGTGTCACTGTGTTTTGTTTATGAGTTTTTTAGTGCAGTTATGTTTGGGCTTATAATTATTTTAATTAGGCTGAACGTCGCTAGCCTGTTCTATTTGAGGCTAGGCCTAAGCTAATATTAATTGTATTACTTTAGCCTCTCTAGGGTAGATCTAGGTTAAGTTAGGGCCAGGTGTCTATTTGATATTAATTAGAAATTGCCAGATTATTTTGATGTCTGTATGTGGCAAGGCTCATTATAGGCGTCATATTGTAATTTTGTGACGATAATGAATTTTTTCCATAATTATACTTAGGAGGTAGGCCTCTATATTGATCTCCTAATATCTTACTAATAAATTAACATTTAATAAAATATCTCATAAAATAATAGCAATCAATAATTATATTGAATATAAGTTAGTAAAACAGCTTTTATGTGTGAAATTGATAACAAATATTGCTCTTCAATCTTATGTTAATTTACACATGTAAATACTTTCGTTTGCAGGCTTTTGATTGCACATTATACAGTATGTTAATTGTCAGTTTGTAGCTTGTCAGTTTCACATGTGCTTTCTGGTTTGTTTACAGTAGAATTGATTTATACTAAAGCATGTTGTTGATTAAGCCACCATTTTCAAACCGGTTTAAATAGTGAGAAGCATTGTGGATAAAGCATTTCTTTAACATTTAAATACTGTGAAGCATATTCTTCATTAAGCCACTATTTCAGAATTGGTTTAAATATGGAAAAGCATATTGTGGATAAAGCATTTTTTTTTTAAAGATTTAAGTACTATGAAGCATATATTGTGGATACTCTTTTTTTAAACTGCATATCATGGATAAAGCCTTTCTTTTAAGCCAGGGCTAGAAATTTACTTTTTCAGCCACTAGCAACCTATTGCTAAAATGTGCTAGTTGTTAAAAATGTAACTAGCAAAATGAGCTTCTGAACTAGTAAAATATATTGATACCAACTCAACATATTATTTTCGGAAAATAAATTGTATGAAAATAACTAATGATGTACTTCTATAAATTTGTGTGTTAAATGTTTTAATATAATATTTTCTGTTATGGTGAGTGTAGTAC